GGGAAGCGAGGCGGCGACGCACTGCTTGGGGGGGGGGGGGGGGGCAGCAGTGCCCAGTCGTCGTGAACACTACGGACGTTTGGAGCATGCCGACGAGGACGCCGCTTCGCATTCAGAGGCGCAGCGCACAGACACCGCGCTGCCCAACACTCCCACAGCGCCAAACACACTGCAAGATTAGGATGAAATCCATCCAGTGCGAGGGCAGGCCACCGGTATCGCCGTGCGGGTTCTTTAAAATATTTTTCACGATAAGTTCTTGTGTGGCGCCGCACGCTTCTCCCACACTGGGTAACCACCACCATCTTTGGGAGCCGGACAGGTCGGAAAGAAAAGGCCAATTACTGAAACTCCTCGGTTATGTAAATAGAAATCGAGCGTTTTGGACGCAATGTCCCTGAACAAGGTAGGCAAATTTCTTCAACCAGAGCAAAAGCAAAGAGAGAGACTCGGATAAAATGGCGCATACTACACCAGGCTCGCTTATCGCGCGTCTTTAGCTTCTAGAGAAATCGGCCTCTGTCATTTTCTTTTAATGAATTTGATGACAGCGTATGCGTGCACCATACCGGCGAATCTCGGAGATCGATGCTAACAGACGGCACGAGGAGACCGCCGAGCGGACGAGCGTCGTCACGTGATGCACAGGCCTCAGCGTACAGTGGGCCAGAAGACCGGTGGAGGCGGCCAAAATTCTAGACGCGTTTTGAGCTCTAGAGTCGCTGGATGGGACCCGAACCGACCGTGTGACCCCACCAATGGATTGCTCTCCGAACGAGGAGTCCATTGGTGGGGTCACAAGCTCAGTTCAAGACCTCTTTAGCGCCTCTGGAGCTCAAAACGCGTCTAGAGTTTTGGCCGCCTCCACCGGTCTTCTGGCCCACTGTGCGGCGCCTCGGCTAGCCATGCCGCGCCATGCCGCCGGAAACGACAGCGAAACGGCAGCATCGTTTATTACGTCCACTAAACGTCTCATAACGTGTTCCACCGCCGAGGTGCGTTTAGCAAATGAGTCCCATTCACGATAAGCAGAGCGGACGACGGAGAGAAGAAGAATGTGTCGGAATGTGGACGCGCCGCGACGCGCCGCCACGCAGCGGCGGACTGCTGCAAGCGCGGCGGTGCACCGCGGTGCCCTGCCACTGTGTGCCACCATCCGTCAGCAGCGTCCATTTGTCAGTCATAAAACAGCAATCAAATCAACATTTTTCAGACGAGACCGAACAAAAGCGGATGTGCACCCGTTTACATCACATTTCGGACCGCAGTGTCTGCCCCTCTGTCTGGTTGGTGTCAGTACGTGCGCGTGAGAGAGAGAGAGAGAGAGAGAGAGAGAGAGAGAGAGAGAGAGAGAGAGAGAGAGAGAGAGAGAGAGAGAGAGAGAGAGAGAGACAGACAGACAGACAGACAGACAGACAGACAGACAGACAGACAGAAGGGTGTGCGGGCGGACAGGGGCGCGACAAATATAAAAGGAGAAGCAGCGCGGAAAGGCCAGTGCACCGCCACACTGCCAGCGCTCAATCACTCTCCCGAAATCATCCTTTTTATCCCGCCTGATTTGAATTTTATTGCGCCGTAAAGCTGCCGGCCGCCCGTCTCGCAGCTCCACGACGACGCCGGGATGCGCTTGCTCTGTCCTACACCGAGCTGCTACTGCTCTCTCTCTCTCTCTCTCTCTCTCTCTCTCTCTCTCTCTCTCTCTCTCTCTCTCTCTCTCTCGCCACGAAAAGTCTGGGGTTGGCCTGGGGGAGAATCCCAGGTACTGCTTTTGCCGTGTTCGAAAATCGGAAAAATCTGCTGCTCCTGAGAGGGCGACAGCGAGCGACCCGCAGTGTTCCAGCACGTTGCTTCAATCCAGCTCTACAGGCGGGTGCGGGTGTGCGGGAGCAAACACATCACACGACCCTTGCCGATACAGTGCGTAACTACACTGTACAGTCCACGGTACGGCAGTAGTCTGTTTGCCCCAATTCTGTCTGACTGGGTGGTCCCGACGGCACGGACCAAAGGCACCAGCCAACCCTTGCAGTGCCACCGCCCCCGATTGGCTCGCACCAAACACAGACTCAGGCGAGTAGAAAAAGAAGAGGAAGCAAAAGTAGTAGTAGTAGTAGTAGTAGAAGTAGAGAAGAAGAAGAAGAAGAAGAAGAAGAAGAAGAAGAAGAAGAAGGCATCACACATGTTTGCCTCCAAGCGGAGCCAGAGGCGCTCATCCCCGTAGGCGAGACGGAAGCTCTTGTGTGACCAGCGGGACATACACACACACACACACACACACAGAGGCGCCTCTAGCCCCCCGCGACGCCCAAGGGCCGGTCCAGTGCCGGTCCTACATCAAAAGCCCATCGGCAGTTAAGACCCTCCGCTCTGGCGGGCCGTGGCCTGGCCGCCGTGGCCGCCCTGGCCGACTGACTTCCCAGGGGCTGGTTCCATCTCAATAAATCCGCTCTGCTTCCAATCATCGACCGTTCGGTTACAATTTTATTATTTCTCCCCAAAAGACTGATGGTGATAAGCGGCGCGGCCTCGGCCGAGGCCTGTGCCGGCCCGGGCGCCTTATCGGGAAAGCATAAAGCAGCGAGACCTGCGCCGCCTGTGGCTGCCTGTGGCTGCCTTTGGCGCCGAGTCACCTGCCGCCCTGGCCGCCGTGGCCCGGCGTTCCCACGAGCCGCAAGTATTTCACACACTTGCAAAACAAAATATTTTTAAAATCACAAATCACAAAAATAATATCAACCCTAACAAGTTAAGATAGTCTCTCAGGTTCGCCCGGGCCCAGAAAAATTAAGATGGTTTCCTGGCGCCCTATGGCGAGGTAGGATGGTTCCCTCAGGAGGGGTCGCGTTGAGAAGGCTGGATAAGAAGGACGATGCCAAAAGCCAAGATGGCATACATTATGGCTTTTTCGACTACGTACATTTGAGCAGCCATCTTTGGCCGTAAAACCGAGTCCGGCCCCGTCCGTCTTCCTCACCGGGGCCTTACGGCGCCTTTCGGGGTCCAACAATTAGTCTCCATTTGCCTTTTGTTTGGTTATTCATAACTTATTTGCCTAATTGACACGCGCGCTCACGATGAAATTCCTCCGACGACTCTAAACGAGGTCCAAGAGTTAGGACCGGGGCGGGCGGTGCGCACGCACCACACGCAGGCGCCGTCCGTTTCGCCCCGAAAGACAAAGCCCGCTCATCGCCTCGTTGAGACCCGCCGCGCCGGGCAAAGCCAGGCCGGACCACGCCGACGGTGGTCCTGTCCGCGAGCTACCTCGGAGCTCCACAGTGGGCCAGAAGACCGGTGGAGGCGGACAAAATTCTGGACGCGTTTTGAGCTCTGGAGTCGCTCGAACACTGAAAAAGCCGGTGGAAAGTTTACTTCCCACAAATTTGGCAAAGCCGTTTTGAATGCCAAAAACTTGCAAGCTTGGTCCGGAAATACTCCTCAGCTTGCTAAAATTAGGCAAGCTGATGAAGATTGCCGACCAAAGTTTGCCAAATTTTGGTGCCTTTGCCAAATTTGTGGCAAGCAAACTTACCACTAGCTTTGCAGTGAACCGAGCGTGTGCAGGGCCGGACTGGCTAAGTCAGGGCCCCGGTCGCAGTGTGACGTCAAGGGCCCCCTTTTCCGATATGCGTCCATTGTTTTAAATTTACTAGCCAGGGGAGGGTAAGCCGTGTTTGGTGACTTTGGGCGGCCACTGTGTCCAATCTAGTTGACGTAAAAGGCCTCCCTCGACGCCCTAGTATTCTTATGACCCTACTGTTTCATGCCCTGTATCGGGAAGACGTTGACCACAACGATTTTGCCTTTGACCGCAACGATTTTGGGACCAAAGTTGGTCAAAAATGGTCGAATCTCGGAAATTTGCTGATTTTGCTGACTTTGGGCGGCTACTGTGTCCAATCTAGTTGACGTAAAAGGCCTCCCTCGACGTTCCAGTATTCTTAAGACCCCACTCTTTCATGCCCTGTATCGTGAAGACGTTGACCACAACGATTTTGCCTTTGACCGCAACGATTTTGGGACCAAAGTTGGTCAAAAATGGTCGAATCTCGGAAATTTGCTGATTTTACTGACTTTGGGCGGCTACTGTGTCCAATCTAGTTGACGTAAAAGGCCTCCCTCGACGTTCCAGTATTCTTAAGACCCCACTCTTTCATGCCCTGTATCGTGAAGACGTTGACCACAACAATTTTGCCTTTGACCGCAACGATTTTGGGACCAAAGTTGGTCAAAAAGTGGTCGAGTCTCGGAAATTTGCTGATTTTGCTGACTTCGGGCGGCCACTGTGTCCAATCTAGTTGACGTAAAAGGCCTCCCTCGACGTTCTAGTGTTCTTAAGACCCCACTCTTTCATGCCCTGTCTCGGGAAGACGTTGACCACAACGATTTTGCCTTTGACCGCAACGATTTTGGGACCAAAGTTGGCCAAAAAATGCGCTTGATTTGCCGAAATCATGCGTAAAATCGGCAGAAATTTCGTGGAATACCAACAAAATCTCGCGGAACCCGGCATAATTTTGACGCAAAATTCTGCGAAAAATTTTGACGCAAAATTCTGCGAAATCTTGAGAAATTTTCAAATGGGTACCCCTTTCATTTAAGTACGTAAATTGCTAAAGACCGCGACTTTGCCGCGGCCAAGAAGGCCCCGCGGTGGAAAGGCCCCGTGGCCCGCGGCCGAAAGGCCCCGCGCTTCGCGCGAGGCCCCGGGCGCGATCGCGCTCCCGCGGCCCGGGCCAGTCCGGGCCTGAGCGTGTGACCCCACCAATGGATACCTCGATCGGAGAGCAACCCATTGGTGGGGTCACACGTTCGGTTCGAGTTTTGTTTACCTACTCTGGATCTCGAAACGCGTCTTCAACTTTGACCGCCTGCATCGGTAAAGAGGTGCGTGCAGCGGGATCTTTGCGGCGAAATGGCCCCAACGGAGGGAAATTAGATCATTCCAAAAAATTGTTTGGATGCTCTTTACCTTTTTCAAAAATTTGTCAGCATCTTCAATTCTTAACTTTATAACGGCGCAAATCGCCGATAACATAAGCACACACAACTAATTCACGCTTTTCGTTCCATACTTGAAATTGACCCTTCCAAACCCAATTTTCTAGAGCCATGCTCGACATGATGGCCCCGATTTCATCGATGTTCATCGTGGAATTTCGGAGTGTGTAAAAGTACTGAAACAGAAAGGTGATTTTTAAAGTCTTCTCCTTGGTTTACTTACATGATTGCAACTCTTTTGAACGGTTTCGTCATTTTATTCAAGGCTCGTCGAGACGACTCTTTTATAAATAGTTTTTTAAGAATGAAGGTGAACTGTTGATAGAAACTGACCGGCAAGCGACAATGAAATCGACTTTGCACGTGCTAAATAAAATGAAAACCTCATTTCGCTTTGTCGAGAACTATGAAGAGCACTTCAGAATTGGTGTGGTCACTCTCGATTCACATACCTTGTCCATGGGGCATATAAACGGTGGACTGATGGAATCGAGGATGGGCGAATAGAACACCCCCTTCTGAGCAAGTAGGTTGCAGCAACCGTTCTTCCAGGACCAGTTAAAGAAATACTCGCAATTGTCATTGGACATGCCGGCTTGACACCGGTGAACCAGCAAGTCAAACTATGAAAAAAACGCAGGAATAAAATCAAATGTTCTTGGGTACAATTCTTCATTCTTCAATCTGTATCCAGTAGAAAAAAGAACCTTGACCCAACTAGTTGCGCAGAAAAAAAAATTTGAAAGTAAAACCCAGTTTATTTTTTAAATAAAATTACAGTTTCCGCAAGGGGCAACGTGTACTGTGTTTCTGCAAGGCAGCAAACGCTGAAAAGTGGTCCATAACCCGCTTAATTATTTTACCGCCGAACGTCTTACCTTTGACACTGTCATAATCTTCCTGTCAATCCTTCCGTCGACATTCATGACATCAAGTCCGTTTGCATCCATTCCCACCGAATAATTGAAGATTGTTGTGAAGTGGTTCAGCTCCGCTGGACAGGTCCAGATGCCGTGGAACTTAGGAGCGATTCGTATTCTGGTACGGCTAAGCACCTACATACGATTGCTAGAATAAAAGTGTGTTATGCACTAGGGTGGTGTGAAACTTTGGGATCGAGAAACGAGGCATGGCTGACCGCAAATTGGGGTGCACTTGACATGTGTGACACCTGTACCAAGTAGACAACGAAGTTGACTCTTCGGAAAAAGTCAACCATAGATTGCGGCGAAGACCTAACTTTGGTCCGCCCCGAAAGCTGGAAGGGCCCGGCGGGCAAAATTGAGCATTGCAGCTGGTCAAAGCATAGCCATAGCCAAGTTTCTCGATCCCAGATTTTCACTTTCCCCCCAATTATCCTGCAAGTGATCAACGGACGTAAGTTACCTGTCTCGTTGCGACGAGCAGGGCGACCAAGGCCCAAAGCTGGACGGGCCCCATGTCTGAACACGTTTCCAGTCAGAGACAAACAAAGCCCATCGAGCAAGCGGCAATCTCCAGCACGATAGGCCGTCGCATCCGCAGCTAGCGTCACGACCAACTTCACACACTCACGCTAAAAAAAATAAAAATTGAACGGGATCTTCTAGTGCTGCCTTTGACGGCCGGAGTCACGCGAAATGACATGAGTCCTTTGTCATTTTGAGACGCCAATATTTAGTCTTGTGGGAAGGGTCAGGCCTGAGTAGTACTGCAGTGCAAGCGGCCAAAATTCCAAACGCGTCTTCAGCTCCAGAGTCGCTACATGGGACTCGAACCGAGCGTGTGACCCCACCAATGGATGGCTCTCCGAACGAGGAGTCCATTGGTGGGGTCACACGTTCGGTCTGCAGGGCGGTGCGGACAGGTGGCGCCGCGTCGCGCTGCCCCGTCATCTGCGGCGGAAGCGGCCGGAAGAGGCCGGAAGCCGGGAGGGAAGCAACAAAAACGAAACCGCGGCCAATGGCGAGTGCCCGGATCGCCCCTTTTCGCCATGATATTGAAGCGGACGCGTGGGGCCCCGCCCTGCCCCGCCCCGCCCCGCCCTGCCCCACCCTGCCCCACCCCGCCCCGCCCTCGGCTTCCTGCGCGGCCGTCATGCCGCCGCCGCGTTGCGTTGCACTCAAAATTAATAACCAGAGAGACGATACGGCTATTCCGGGCTACAGTATTCGCAGTAATAACAACATCAAAAGAGCCGGACCCAGCCGGACCCGGCCGGACCCGGCCGGACCCGGGGGGAGGGAAGGGAGAGGGGGAGGGGAGGGGGGGGGGGAAGGGGAAGGGGAGGGGGAGGGATGAAGGGAGGGGATGAAGGGAAGGGATGAAGGGGAGGAACGAAGGGGAGGGCGGAGGCGCCGTGCTGACTCCAAAGCAAAGCGTCTGCCAGCTGCGCACCGCGCCAGGTACAGGAGGACACAGAGACCACCATTGAGAATTCACTGTACCTTATAGATAATCGTTGGTATTATGTAGAAAATCTCCACCATAATATGTTGGTGCAGCCTTTCACCGTAAGACATTTGCAGTGCGTCTCTCTGTCTCTCTCGCACCTTTTGCAGCCCCGCCGAACGCAGCGGCCGAACGGGTGGCCTGCCTGCACGGCGCTCCGGCCGCGAAGCGCAGCGGAGCGCGAGGCCGTCGCCTCGACCGCCACGCAGACTCCGAGAGTCGCTTTCGTCGCTCCGTCTCTCTCGCACTCATGGGGCGTCCCGTACGGGTGCGAGAGAGACAGCGACTCTCGGAATCAGTCTGCTGGATGAGAAACGGCACGCCGCAAACGCACGACGGGACAGAACGCGAGCAAAGAAAGTGGAGGCGCAAGAGGAATCGGCCGAGCCGCGCACTCACACACACGCAGAGGGACACACGGACGCGCACAGACACACGCCGCACTTATCGACCAATTACGGGCGTAATGAGACAGGCAGGGCGACAGCCGCTACAGTGTGGCGGCTACACAATCGCCCGAGCCGCGCTGCAGACTGATTCCGAGAGTCGTGGTCGTCGCTCTGTCTCTCTCGCACTCATGGGGCGTCCCGAGTGGGTGCGAGAGAGACAGCTCGGTGCTTCCAGTGCCGCCACGCCGCGGCGGCGAAAAAAAAGGAGGACCGCGAAAAGGGCTGCACACTGCATAGGAAAGGAGGCCGATTCGCTCTGTCTCTCTCGCACCCACACGGGACGCCCCACGAGTGCGAGAGAGACAGAGCGACGAAAACGACTCTCGGAGGGCAGTCTGCTGGCCTCGGGGCACACCGAGCAGCACGCCACTGTTAGCACTCCGAGCACCGAGGACGATATAAATCTGCAAAAGAGGCCCCCACGGGCCGGCTCTGGATCTACCACTGCGGAATACAGGAGCGGTTCAGTGTGTACAGGAGATCCGACACGACTACGAGTCGATGAGCGGACGATCTTGGTAACTCCGCGACGCGCCACTCCCAGGGTGCATTCCCTTGCGAATCCGCCCTAATCCGCCACACCGCTAATCCACGCCTTGCGCTATTCCTCTGCTCACTCTGCTCGCGGGCGTAGGGAACTGCCGAGCGGCTCAGAGGAGTCCGTTTCGTCGCTCTGTCTCTGTCGCACTCATGGGGCTGTCCCTAAGGGTGCGAGAGAGACAGAGCGACGAGCCGTTTCGCGGAGCCAACGCGCATTGCACCGCGCCATGGCCGCGCCCGAGCACTCCAAGACGGCCCGCTGCCAGCACGCTGATTCCGAGAGTCGCCCTCGTCGCTCTGTCTCTCTCGCACTCATGGGGCGTCACGCGCCCCGCCAAACGCCCCGCCAAGCTGCCAATGCGTCGGTGCTTCGCGGCGCTCCGATTGGAAGGGTCAATAAAAATCCGAGTCGCGAGAAAGTGTTCCCGCCCGGAGTTAAATCTAGACCTAACGCCGCGGCCCCGTGCCAGCTAGGCCGTCTTCCCCGCGCGCGGGGAGAACGCCCTTCGTTTCGGCGGGGCGGGGCGGGGCGGGCGGGCGGGGCGGGGCGGGGCGGGGCGGGGCGGGGCGGGGCGGGGCGGGGCGGGGCGGGGCGGGCGGCAGTTAGTTGGCAAGCGTGTTGTTCGCGGTGCCGCCCTCGTAAACTGGCCGGCCGGCCGCGCGAACGCGACCTAGAGAGCTCTCAGGCTGCGTCCGGAGTTCGGACTTCGGATGGCGAGACGGGAATTTAGGGGAGTGGCGCTTCGCGCTGGTGGACGCCCGAGTCCACCTGCGTCTCCGGCATGCAAGCACACCTAATAGTAATCGTCCTGTTGTAGCAGGCTCACGCGGTATTCATCCTTTGCCTCCTCCACACGTTCGGTTCGAGTCCCATTTAGCGACTCTGGAGCTCAAAACGCGTCTAGAGTTTTGGCCGCCTCCAGCGGTCTTCTGGGCCGCCCCGCAGGCGGCTGACGCTCTGTCTCTCTCGCACTCGGTCGCGACCCCCCACGAGTGCGAGAGAGACAGAGCGACGAAGTGCTGACGGCGCCCCGCCAGATTGACGAGGAATGCCGCCTTGGCTGGCCTTTCCTGCCTTTCGCTGGCCTGCCTCCTGCACTGCTTTTAGGGGTCCAGGAAGCTGCACACATTTGGCGCTCCTCCTGCGCCAGTAAATTGCCGCGAAGCGCGCTCCTGATTTCCCCGTCTCTCTCTCTCTCTCTCTCTCTCTCTCTCTCTCTCTCTCTCTCTCTCTCTCCCTCTCTCACTAAAAGCGTCGCCGGGGCGTTAGTACTTCTAAGTGGATTTCACCGCGACACTGCTGACCCGCCGCCGCTCTCCGCCTTTTGTGCCGACATTGTAAATTTAGGACCGGGATGCGACAATAACGAGGCGATGCCGTGGCAGTGGCGTGGCAGTGGCGTGGCAGTGGCGTGGCAGTGGCGTGTCAGTGGCGTGGCGCAGAGAAACGTGCCGCCAACTGCCTTCAAACTGCAGTTATGGCAGTTTGTTGTTGCAGGCGCGGGTTCCGGGTGAGAGGGTAGGGGAGGGGGAAGGGGAAGGGGGAGGGGGAGGGGCCCGCTTTCGGAGTCGGAAAATGAAGAGCACTTTCTTCTGACTTATTGAAGACGATCGCCCGCAGTCGGTGAGCTTGTGCGAGGGCGCCCCGGTCACGATTACAATCGGGAAAAAAAAAGTTGTTTTACACGTCAGAGGGAATGACCAAAATGTGTAACCCGGTCGCGGCGGCAGCGACAGCATGCGCGAGGGAGACTTCTTCTATCCGGTTTCTCCGCATCACGATTGAGAGCAGAAGTCGGTCCAGGTGACGGATCGGACATCGTGCGTGGCCCGCAGGAAAGTCGCCCGGACGGCCCGGCCGGCGCTGTCTCTCTCGCACCCTGACGAGGAGCCCGACGAGTGCGACAGAGACAGAGCGACGAAGCGGCCCGTTCTGAATCGCCCCGGCTGTCGCTGTGGGCGTTTGCGTCTCTAGATGGCGCTCGAGCGTCCGTCTACGGCGATCGGCTCGCGCGCGCGGCGGGCAGCTCTCTCTCTCTCTCTCTCTCTCTCTCTCTCTCTCTCTCTCTCTCTCTCTCTCTCTCTCTCTCTCTCTCTCTCTCTCTCTCTCTCTCTCTCTCTCTCTCGCACGCCTGCGGAGGGCGCCGTGAGTGCGAGAGAGACAGAGCGAGGCAGCCTGCGGGGCGCTGCGATTGATTCGCTCAGGACGCCACACGCTTTCGATTGTCATCTGTCACCGCCTGGCTCGGCCTGGGCCCGCCTCGCGCCGCCCCGCGAGAGTCGACTTCGTCGCTCTGTCTCTCTCGCACGTGTACGGGACGCGCCCTGAGTGCGAGAGAGACAGAGACAGAGCGACGAGAACGACTCCCGGAATCGGTCCGCGGGAGACCTCCGGGCGGGCCGGCGGGTCCACTGGCGGGGCCACTGGCGGGGCGGGCCGGCCGTCGTCCCGCGTCCGCGCGGTGGCCATCCATCACCATGAGGAGGGGGCCGTGCCGGGCCGCGCCGGGCCATGCGTGGGAAGAGGGGAGGGGGGCAGTGCTCGGGTTACCATACCAAAGTGGCGCCGGGCGAGATCACCTCGGATCGCCTTTGAGGCCGCGTGACGACGCCGTGCCCATGGAGGCCCTGTCCGCGGTACCGCCGCGAGCTTGCTGACCAGGCAAGTATTGGCGCCAGCGACTGCGTGTGTGTGTGTGTGTGTGTGTGTGTGTGTGTGTGTGTGTGTGTGTGTGTGTGTTGTTGGGGGGGGGGAGGTGTCCGCTCTGTATCGGTATGATTTTTGAGGAGGTACGTATCTGTAAGTCTAGTTGAGTTGACTTGGTCGTAGGTTGCTGACCTCCATGGGGGCGCTAGAAGAAGTGCCTGCGCGTCCATTACCCACCCTCTTTTCCACTATGTTGTCTATGTATCCACTAGACGACCGCAACCTGAAAGTATCGACCCTGCGCCTGCATACTCTCTTGCAGGCTGGCTCGAGAGTTTGTCTATCTCTATCGCACCTGTCCTGCAAGGGACCTCCCATGAGTGCGAGAGAGACAGAGCGGCGAAAACGAATCTCGGAAC